CGCTGCGGTGGGATGACCTTCTGGCCAGCAGACAGACGGCCGAGTCGCTCTCCGTTTTCAGACGCAAACTAGAGGCATGTATTATTCAGCATCCATCTACACGTGAACAGTCTTCTTATTTTCTGGGCTCCAGTTTTATCTGAGATACTCAAGTGGCACATTTTTACGCCCCTAATTCTGGATCCCGGCGTTAAAGATTTAATTTAGCATTTATTACTGGAGGAATGAGTTCTTCAGCGCTTCAGAAGCTGGGAATTAGCTGTGTGATTATTATAATCTTGCTAAGAGTGACATTGTGGTTCTGAGAGCAGCACTGTTGCCTCACTCCTCCAAGGTCAAGGGAGTAAGTGCCACCTCTGGCTCTTTGCTTGTGCAGTTTACATGCTCTCCCTGTGTTTCTTCTGCAGCTTGCATGCTCTCCCTGTGTTTCTAAGCAGGTCTGCTCTGGGTGCTCCATTTTCTTCTCATAGTGCAGAAACATGCAGTTAGGTAAATTGGTCTACATGTGTGCCCTGTGCTTCCTGGAGCAGGCTCCAAGCCCACCATGACCCTACTGGATAAGCGGTTATCAAAAACGGGTGGATTATTATAATGTTACTACTTAATCGTATGTCGGATTTAAAACTTTCTTCTTGGCATGTCCTTGTATGGTGGTACTAGATAAATGCTGACTCACAGCTGTTCATCCACCTCAGTCAGAGATCCCTGCGGCTCCTTGCATGTCATCCTTGCATCCTTGCACCTGGGTGGACTGGGTCACAATACTAATAAACAAATTAATTGAGTTCCAAAAAGATGAATTGGGCAGGAATAACAGTTCAAAAAGGTGACAAGCACCAGCTCCAGCTATTGGGAGAACAGGCAGTTGCCTCGGGTCCTGAATTACATGCGATGTGGAGGAAAAAAAATTATCATCAGTTCTCTTGGTAGCAGAGCCTGCCCAGTAGTGCCCCAGAAAAGGTAAATCTAGCAGTGGTAGCAAGTGTGATGTACAGTCAGAAGAAATCTAACCGTCCAGTTTTCATTCGGCATTCTTGGATTTTCAAGTTTCATATTACTGATGGGGTCTCATCAGTGTCCCCCAAATTGCCCGTAGGACAAATTGGGCTGATTTATTTGGGCTATCTGTAATGGAGTGCAGGTATTCATTCTAATTTGTGCTTCGAGAGTTAAGACCCACTAAGTAATGGCTGCGGCAAGATCGATGGAATAGATGCATCGCCAACGGGGTCCCTGTGGCTCGCAGGGGGGGGGCTGGGCTGGCTTGCAAGTTGGACTGCATGCGCCAAAGGAGAATCAATGCCTGTAATCAGAGCTCAGCTACACACCCCCACCACAGCCTGATTGCAAATTTGTAGAACACAGCCAGTCAGCATTACATAGTACTTCACGCTATATTTGTCTTTGAACGAGGGATTTTTTTTTTCCATAAATAGCACCGTGCATTAAATATGCCTACAAGTTTAAGAGGAAAGAGATTTACTTTTGTGGATTTTTTTTGCAGGGCACTGCAGTGTCTGCTCCGCGATCGATGGCGTCACCCATTCACAGGTGGCGAATGATCCCAGAATGCAAGGGACTGCGTTTTGCTTTGGGGTTGCCAGATCATTCTTTGGATGTCTTTCCTCTTGACTGAGGAAAGACACCCACTGAACCAACATGCTGCTGGGAGATAAAGCAGAGAAGCAATGAAAACAAAGGAAGTCCCAGGTCCCGTGCAGGAGGGGAGGTGTCCCCTTCTTCCTGGGATGACAGAGCTGCACTCTGCTAAACTGTCTCAGTCAATACATCATATTTGAGAAGCAAATGTTATGACATGTGAACAAGCCCGTCCACTCTGCTCCTCTTCTCTCTGACAATCTTACAGGACGCACAGAACTGCCAACTCTTTGTCAAATTCACACCGTCGATCACACAGTCCTAGGTCCTATAAACATAGCAGTTACATAAAGAAATGCCCTACTGAGGGATCACCCATCACACGGGGGAAGGAATAAAAAACCAACCAGAATATGGAGATGCATGAGGTGCTCTCTACTATAAGCATATAAATAAAGGAGACCAAGATGAAAGGCAACAGGTATAAATAACAGTGGAATCATGGGAATGGAACAGGAGCGTTGATCACCTGACCACCCCCGCCTTTAAGCCACACCCCCTTTTCATCCTAACAAACACCTTTTTGTAGATTAGTAAAATAACTTCAATTAACAGATACTGTGCAGGCTTGCCCATTTTTCTGCATACAAATAAAAATCAATGATTATCTTTGGTTATTTAATAATTACTCATTTAGCACCTACAAAAAACTACATAGCTGCCATGTACCAAAGTTACACAAATTACTAAAAATTTTGCATACTCCTGTTCTATTAAAGCCGTTCTATGGGGTAGCCATTGTTCTGTGGAGTCCATTTGACTTTAAGCTCCTGTAAAAGGTTTCCCTTTGTCCCTGTGCAGAAATCACTTCTGCTCTCTTTCACTCACTTCTTGGGAGTTAGAGCAATTAAGGCATACAATGTACTGGGGATGAAAAACACTGCGTGGAAAACCTGAGGAGGAAGGAACTTTATCACAGGACTAGAAAAAATGAGCAAATTAGACAGGGGATTATACAGGAAAGCACAGAATGTTAATTCCTTATAGGAAATCACCATTCTCTTAATTCAATAACTAAGTCAGTTCGTTGTTCATCTCTGCTGTCTGTAAACTCATTTTTCACAATCAGCAGCGGCAGAACTTGCTCTAATAGGATGAGCAGGTTTAACTTGTCATACACTCTAAGCCCTGGAAATCTACCCTTATACAATCTGGATTTACCATGAATATCATTATTCGGTGGAGTAAGGTAAGGACAGTCCACTCTGCTGCTGACACAGAGGATCTGGATTTTCATGCTAGGTTTGGCTGAATGCGGTCACACGACTACAAAAACAATTCAACCCATATAAAACAACATGGCCATCATACTGTGCTTTAATGCCACATTTAATCTAAACAATAACACACAATCATCCACTGAGTTGAATCTTTAGGCAATTTTATATTGATCTTTCACAGAAAATCGATTATATATAAACTCAAACATCAGTAAAGTGACGTTTGGTAAAGGATCAACATAAAGGACATAAAAATGTTGCATACGTTATAATCTTACAACTTTACCCTTTTTGACAAAATGTTCACTTTAGTTATACAGCATATGTAATATATTCAGCTGAATTTCTGCTTTTCTTTTTTTTTTCACGCAGCGATTCCAGGTACAACAGTAATAAGGTTTCTCACTACCAAATCCAAAATGGCAAGAAAACAACAAAGAGCTTATTTGTCACATTTAAATTGGTAAAAAAGAAAAAAGGTACATGTGTACGGTATAATATAGGATATAGGACAGCGTCTTTAAATTTATGGTTCCACAACAGTTTACACGCATCACATGCGACACTAATTGATGCCCTTTTACGGGCCCTTAAGATTATATTTTTCTCACCATTTCCAGTTACATGGAAGAAAGACTCGTTGTGCGGTTTCAGGAGAGGAAACGAGGGGGGGGGGGGGGGGGGTAACAGTCTCTATTCATCAGACTTTGAGGCACTGCACTGATTCTCCATACATAATCTGTGCAGTTTTATTTTCCTGGTTACATTTGCATTAATACTTGCCATACAAATCAGTATAGTTATGTTTTTAATAAAACAGTTATAAGCATGGTTATAGAAAGACTGTTTTATAGAGTCAGGATCTCTCAAACATTTAGAGGTTGATGACAGAATGGTTCTATGTGCAATTCCCTGTCGATCTCATGGTGGTCATTTTGATTTGGCTCAAAGCAGATAAAACAAACAGCAACAACTATACCAAACATATGGTAGCAAGCCAGTTCCCGTGGTAACCTTTCTGCTTGTAAATGAGGTTACTATGATGGTATGCACATGTGAATGAGCTGCTGAAAAAAATAAAACAAGGGTTCTTTATACATTAGTATCAAATAAACATCAGTCAAACCTTTTGAATATTTTCAGTGGCTACAGTTAATAATTCCTCGTTTTTGTACTAGCAGACCCTCAACAGATCAATATTATTCTTTTGCCTTTAATCACCATTTATTGTGTAATACGAAGTACTCCGGTTTTTTATATGAAATCATGTATGAAAATATTTTATCGGCAAAGACGAGGTTACGCTTTGTTATTGACCAAAAGGAAGGTTTTGAAAGGCCTTTGTAGGTCTGTGCATTTCAATCTATTGACAATGGCCTGAAATAGCAGTTAATAATATTCATATTATGTTCATTGTAAAAGGCAAATATTTCACATCATTTGCTCTTTTTGTCACTTTTTGTCGTAATGTCTTGGCTACCGGGTCTGGAGTCAGATGGAACAACAAACACACAAACCACTTCTAAACGCTAATGAGACACAATAAATATCTGGGGATAGTCTATCATGACATAAAATAGTCTGCTTGTTACTTTCAACAACCATTTAAAGTCAGTGTTTTGTCTTCTGCCACAACCTATTAAAATATTAAATATATAAGAGATAGAATGCTAAATATTTGGGAAATGGTAAGTAGACAGAGTGAAATGCATGAAATCACTTAAAACCATAAATCTACAGTATCCTCCAAAAATCAAAATCAGGCAACAAAACAGACCACAAGTTTCACTAAACATTTATCAAAGCAGGATGCTTTTCCACACATGTCCCTCACGCAGCTTGACCACTGATAAAATATTGAGAAAGCAAACACCCAAGATACAGGGGCGAACTGCTCTCAGTCTCACATTCTGCTGTGCTAAACTCCTCGCTCCACTTGCCTTTACAGATTGCCTCTCACTAACAATGACTCCTCATACCGATTTAGCTTATGTGCTTAAGTAAACAAACAAGCAGACCTTTTATCAGTCTCAGGTAGCAGAATTCAAGGTCTCTTTCACACAATGAGTTAAGTGTAATTAAGTCAGATGAGGGGTTATATTACCCAAAGGGAAAATTATATTTTTTTCATTGCTTAACTGAATTTGTGCCACTTTGTATTACAGAAAAAAAGTGTATTTAAGCGATTTGCTACCTGTAACTTACATTCCGTGTAATTCAGAATCCTTTAGTATATTCTGTGTATTGTACTGCATATCCTTACATAGAAGGTTCAGGATTAGCAGTAATTAAAAACATTCCTGATTAGGACAGAAACATTCATCTTTCACTGTGCCTATCTCAGATGTACTGAACATTCCTGACGGACATTGCGTTGTCCCTTGCTCTAAACACATACCCATGACACTATTATAATAATAATGAAACATCTCTTGTTGTTTTCTATATCAGAGGAAATCTGGGCAAAGGTAACCCTGATTAAATATCTGAGCAGCTCGAAAGGTTTTAGAATGCTGACCTAGTGTGACCTGCAGGTTTTAAAGTGAATCCATTGTGTTGCTACATTTAAATCCAAGTCATCCTTGGCGTAATAAAAGCAAATGCAGAAGCACAGCTTTTGTTAGACCTTAAAGTGTTAAATACATGATCTACTCCTCACATTTGGCCGAAGTGTTTTTTTTTTTTGTCATTTAAGGCATATTGCAGCTTTATATGATAATTAAGCTTTAAACTCTTTAATATCTTTTCGTACTTTACTGTATACATTATGTGACATACGATATTTTTGTTCTTTTTGTTCTTCATAAAGAACCAGTAGCAACTTTTCTTTGAAGTACACCACAACTTCTGCAACTGTATTCGTTGTGCTTTATAAATGGTCATAGGCCGTTAACCATGGCCTGATATGTACGGCGAAAGCTTGTACACATGTAGGTCGTGTGCGTCTTTGGGACTGCCGGAATGGGGCTGGTGTGGGGTGCCCGTGTTGAGAAGTCCTTCTGGAAAAGTCCATTTCCGGACCGCGGCCACCTCTGTCATGCCCCCGAGCCCTCGAACGCCTGTCAAAACAAACCTTGGACTCCAGCATCAGGCAAAAAAGGAAAGTTGTGCTGCTGTTGGTGTGAAAGCGTGTCGATTTTAGCTGACCGCCTCTGTGCTCACCACGGGGACAACGGCAGACGTGGACGTGTTCATGGCCGAGGACAAGCCGGCCACCGGCTCCCACTCCACCAGAGTCTCCCTGCCTTCACTTTCCAGCTGTCTCATTCGCAGGTTTATAGATCCGTAGGTCTTTCTCGGCCCTCGGTACATGGTGAATGTCCTCCTTCGGTACAGCTCGCCTTTGCAAATGGACACCATGAGAAGCACCGAGAGGAGCATCCCGCCCAACGTCAGCAGGCCAAGCCCTGCGATGATGCACTTGTCAAGGTGGGAGCCCAGCTGAGCGTAGTGCATCTCCAGTCTTTCCATCTGCCTGGCGCTCACTGTATCCGGATTGACTCGAGCCTCGCGGGGGATGGTGTAGGCTATCACCACCAGGACAATGCCACTCACCAAGAAGACCAGGGCGAAAATGAAGCCATAATCGACCGGCTGGCCGCCAGCTTCTGCCTCTGCCTCTTCGTCGGACTTGGGTGATGGCACGTCCCGCTGTAGATGCTGTGTGTGTGATGGATGATCCCTGTCAGCGGGTGCGGAGAAGGGGAGGTTGGTGCCGGCCACCCCCTGATGGGCGAAGCCAGACTCCTGCTCCTCGGACTGGAATGAGGCGTTTTCGATGCCCTGACCGAATGTCGTCTGAGGTGACTGCTGTCCTCGTTGCTGGGAATTTGAGAACTGATGGCCAGAATCACTCCTCTCGCCCCCCAAATGAGAAAGCTCAACAGCATTCAAGGACTCCATCGAAATACTTTTGACCTAGTCATTCCTTTAAAAAAAAAAAAACTAGTTCCTGCTTTTCATTGCTCCAAGAACCAAAGCCTAAAAAAGATTAAAAGCAGCAATAGGCATGAGTTAAGTACGTTTTCTATTCTAAATCATTAATGTAGATGCTTAAAGTTATTTAATTTTGTTAAAGTTCATTTCAGTATATAACAAAATATGAGGTAGTTAATCACCTTATAAACCCAAGTAAAACCATATAAAGCTATATTTATGCTGATGCTATTTTTATCAGAGGAACATTTTGTTTTGTTTTTTACTGTTTTAAAAGAAGAGTCAGGTATTGTTGTTCAACCTTTCCTTATGACTGAGTACGTTTATCGCCTTGAAATACAAAATATACGCTTTCGTTTATTTATATATTAAATACGTGTGATATCCTTTTTTACTTGGCATATACAGTTTTAATAACGGAGAAGCTCCGTGGTTTATTTTGCCAGTAATAACTCTCCAGTGACACCAGCCCGATGCCGCAGCACCTCCGACCATAATTACCGAACGAGGTGCCCGGTAACTGTCAGTCCAGTAATCCAGCAACACCACGCTAACAAATGTAATACCAACCACCAGGACTGTTGATATGCATCTACTTATTCCTGTCAACACGTTTCGCCATAAACTGCGCTTACTGTGCCCAGCGGCTCCAAATTCCATAATGCATTTGACAACTTTAATGATAATATCGGGAAGTCCCATGTTAGGTGTGGTTTTTTCCCCTTAAAAAATCCTAGTACGCGTGCAAACCCAGGATGACCTTGATACCGATTACAATCTTGCTCTTAGTATACCCGGGATTTGACATTCTGGGTTATCGAGTTGCAAGGGTTTTTTGAAATAGGGCTTGATTTTTTTAAGGGAGGTGAACGGCGATCTTCCGTGTTTTAATGACGGATGCATGCATCAGCGGGGGCACGCTTACCTGCAGGCGCAGATGCTCCGCTTTGGCGCTGATAAGAGCCCGGCTGAAAGATGCAGGATGCTCCGAGGAGGAGACCCTGCCGACGGACCTCTCAAGTGATGGAGTAGCCATGCGCGAATAGGCAGTGCTGATTGAAAAGGAGAGCTTTTACAAGAGCTACATTCAACACTGCTCACAGCACCGAAAAAGCCCGAGCTATATAGCTATATATTTTGACCAAATAATAATTTTACATTTTCATTGCCAGTGCTGTGCGGTACCAAAGCATAATATACCAAAGCGTTACCGCGCGGTGTGTAGACTTACACTGTGCACAGCGGTATCTTGGATAAAAAGGCAGCTCTTGTCCAGGCAGTGGCGTTTTATTGAGATAAATAACGTTTTAACAGCCGGCAGTTAAATAATTTGGATTTTACCTCACCCCCCAGCGCCGTGTTTACTTGTCACTTTCACTATCTGTGGTATCGGAGCCAGCTTGATGTATTGTCTATTAATAATCAAAGGGATTTATGAGAACATAATTCATTTAGGATTGCATTTGTTGGATACTGCCGCCTATGGGTGGAAAAATTACCTGCAGCTAATTTATCCCCAGTTCTGTCTTAACGCCCTAGAGCGTAAAGCAACAGCAGGACTCTCAAGAGGTTGAATTTGGGCGTGGAATTGGATTTAATCAGTGTCTCCAACATATACTGTACAGAAATTCCTACACTTTTAATACAAACGCTTTGTAAATAACATTATGTTAATAATGAGTAGCGTCCACTTGCATATATGCAGTTCAATAGACTACCCATGTACTGAACGAGGAGAATATGTCCTAGTTAAAATAGTGGTTTTGAACGCGAAACTGTTTGAAAATAACATTTTCCAACTCCGTTCCTTTAGGGGCTCCAGTTAGGGGCGTTATTCAGGTAGTGTGAGGTGCTGTTTATTGAAGTACATAAGTGTATTTACAGTATATGATTACCTTCAGGCAAAAAATGTAATAGCTGCAGGCATATCTTGTTTCAGGCGGACCGAACATGATATCAATTACGTCTGACGCAGCAATTTATGCAGAAACTCATGTAAACGAAAGTGGCCAGCAAACAAAATCTAACAGAAGAAAAGTGAAAGTACGCTTGTTATGGTGTACTAAGTCAGATCGTTTAACATTATTGAATTGAACAAAAGAGTCTAGAGTCAACTAAATAAAGTAGATGTAAATCTATCTATCTATCTATCTATCTCATATATTTAAATACCATACATCAAGTAATAATCGTGGGTAACTTAGCAGTTATTTCTGACCTTGTGGATGGCACTCTGTAAATACATGTAGGCCTATGTAAACTGTCAGTTAATGGTGTACCAATTCGTGATTTTATTAATAGGTCATTTTAAGACATACATTAATATTACATGACTTTATATAATATATATAATATATAGAAGCTGTCATTACCATGGTAACTGACGTAATATTTAAACTGTTTCCGTAATCAGCCAGAAGAAATCACACCATCCATTCATTGGTTTACATATTCTTTGCATTGAACGATACTGTGGTGATAATGTGGACAATACAAAAATTACAAAAACTTAATTCTGTGTGTAGGTTATCACACACAAAAACATAAGTATACCCAACATAAAAAACAGAAGTATTCTCTTTTTTTTCCTTTTCAAAACATCACAAAAGAAGCACACAAAGAAAATGACTGGCTTGAAGTCACTGGCACTCGGGTCAGGACGTGCCCAAGGATCTGTCATACCTCATTGTCAGTCTGGAAAATTACACCGTTTCTGAGCACCAGCAGAGTCTCTTTAAATATAATCTATTTTTAAGTGATCAAGGTGGATTATTTCTCAGTCCACAGAAAATAAAGAGCACAGAGGAGTCTGATAAAATGGTAGGATTACCATGGAAACCACGAGGGATCCAGCCAGTGCTATGCATTATTTATGCAAGGCCCTGGACAGACGGATTCCTCCATCTTCTCTCATTATCTCTTCAAATAAATTACTTAATTGACAATATGCACAATTTAAAATGACATTTCACGTATTGAATATGCAATTGAAAGAAAATTGAATATAGACTAAAGATCATATAAACTTGAAGATATTTTGACAACCAACAACTTTGAATTTTATAAAAGCTGCATTTCAGTATAAGTTAAACTGAAATAAATTCTTGCAAACCAGCTGCATCGATTAATAAAAACTAAACTTTGACAAGAAAAACACATCGGACATTGTGTCAACAAATATACCTTACTAAAACAAAGTTAACATGACAAAGAATGTTAAGGACTTGTGTTTAATGTATTGTTAATGCAGTGATTAATGAAACTTAACAGTAACAGCCCATTCCAGAAAGACACCAGAGTGCACTGCACATCAAGTACCTACCATTAAAGAGGAACAGGAAATTAAATAATCATTTCATGCTTTGTGGAAAAGGCTGAGTAGAGGTATGGAGATCACAATAAACTCATGCTTTTTTATTCTTTTATGTGCTCAGCAGGCTAAGCCTCTCTGCCTGTGATCAGAAGAACGCTCATTCGAGCCTGGCTTCAGCATAATAAATATGAGTCTGTGGGCCCTTGAGCAAGACCCGTAACCCCCAGCTCCATGGTGCCACTGCAAGTGGCTGTCCTTCGCTGCCAAGCTTACTCTCACCTACATGTGTGTCGTGGAAAGCAAGATGGGGCAGGAAAAGAGAATTTCCCCATGGGGATCAATAAAGTGTCAGTATTATTACTTTGCTTTAGGTCAGAATATGCAGGCAATTAAAAGCGATCTGTAACAGAAAATGTATTTATACGTACAGAGATTTTTGTTTTTTTATTCTACCCAATTAGTTAGCACCACATTCAAATGGTACAGCCAATAGCCAATCTGTAAAGCGTTTTTTATATCATTATCAGCTCCATCTTCAATAAAGTTGACTGTCATCCAGTGCAATCCCATTCTGAGTCCTGATCATTTCCAGCATTTATATTCCTGTTCTCTATGATCTTGGTTGCCACAGTTAATCTGGCCTTATTTATTAACTGGCTCAGGGCATGGCATGTGCCCAACATTTTAAAACATATAGCATCTCAAAATGGGATGACTGGGTCAATGCAAGCAATTTCATACCATTTGCTTTCTTTTAAGGTATTTTATAACCTTCAGTCATGCTGCTGCACTCAAAAGCCTTTCGTTATATTTTACAGATTGGCCAGGCAGCATAAATAAACATAAAAGGCACACAAAATAAATAGGTAAACATTTCAAAAGTTCTTCACTGGCATTTGGGGATAAAATAATAACTGAATCACAAACAGGTTTCCTGAGACCTAAATGCACTGCAGATGCCTAAAAGATTTTAATAAACATACTTTGCAGTTTGTTTGATTTTTCCTTATGATGCTTCATCTTAATTTCACCAACTTAACATATATTTTATATTGCATTCAAACGGAGGTTAAGTGAGAACTGAGATGTTAGCCAATAAATGACTAGTATCTGACTACTTTAAATCACTGGTTAATCACATTTGTCAACACGCGCGTACGTCATACTTTGTTTTAAAACATATGCTAAATATCCGACAAGAAATGCCATGTGGCTTGGTGGCTGTGGACAACGCCAACTCTGACTGACATCTCAACTGATTGACAACTGACTATAAAATGAAGGGAGTGCCTTATAAATGTTTTCAGAGATGGATCTACTTGAGCCTGTACGCCTGTATCCATTCCCCACATTGTTCGAAGTCAGTGCTGGTGATCTCCGTTATTAAAACCCAACTCTAAGCCAGTTAATGTCCGAACCTACAACAAACAGGGGATTAAATGGCAGCAACACTTAATATCAGTGACTAAGCCAAGGCGTGTTTCGGGACGGGCTGCTTGTTTTATTTACTACAATTTATCTGCCATGCGACGTCACTTAGTAATACCAGTAAAACGTCACGTCCATGCACGGAGTGAGAATGTTACAGCACCAATTTAATAATAATAAAAAACCTGGTTAGTATAGACTTTATTTTGCAAATGATTAACAAACTGCTTTAAAGGTAATAATTTCATTTTGTTTTTTTACAAATTCGTCCCCCATCATCCCTTTACTATTAATAAATCGTTTTTAAGTCAGGCAAAGGAGTTGGACAGCTAATGTTTTCCGTCTTCTGGGTCCTGACACGGAACGAGTTGAAGCTACGCAGGAGACGGAGAGTAGTAATGGAGGCGGACGGTGTGTGGAGTCGCAAGTGAGCTCTAAGAATGGCAGGTCTGCTCGTTGTCCTCTGCGCCGTGACTCGTATTGCTGTGTAGGGTTTCCCCAAACACCTGTCCCGTATATGTCAGACCAGCCCGGGTTCTGTTTAGCGTTAGGAATAACCCACTTTAACGGCGCTAGCCAGCTTCGCTAGCTCACGAGGCTCGACATACTCGCTACCTTGCTGTGTATTATTAATATTAACTGCAAAACATGTAGCTAGCTAGCCGACATGCTGTTATTAGCGCGTATTTATTGCCTCTGTTGCTCCACCTTGCCTATATTAAGCGAAATATACGTTGGGATATTAGTAAATACGGAAAATAAGCATATATACTTTATTTCAGGTAGGGACTTTGATCTTCCGTAGCTAGGTGCTATATGGCAATGTAGGGACTGTTAGTATGTAATAGACAGCTATAATATAAAAAATTCTGTTTAAAAGAAACTCGTTTGTCGTTGCTTTTGATGGGAAAAATTCTCACAACTAAATGCGGTGGTACGGTTTTACTCAAAAATGGCTTTCTTTCATATTTTAAGGCACGGCTTGAAGCTAACGAAAACTCGTGAACCCCCGTTTTCAGTGGTGGACGGAGAGGTCCCATAGCGAAGGCACTGCCCGGCTGGACGTCAGATTGATCCCGGTGTGGAAACTACAGAGACGATGTACTGCCTTCAGTGGTTACTCCCGGTCCTGCTCATCCCGAAACCATTGAACCCGGCCTTATGGTTCAACCACTCGATGTTCATGGGCTTTTACCTGCTTAGCTTTCTTCTGGAAAGGAAGCCATGTACCATCTGTGCCTTGGTGTTCCTGGCAGCCTTGTTTCTCATCTGCTACAGCTGCTGGGGGAACTGCTTCCTGTACCACTGCCAGGACTCTCCACTGCCAGACTCTGCACACGACCCCAGCATTGTGGGCACCTAGATTGAGTCACTCGTCAGCCCCTCTGTACATGAGCACCTCTTCTTCAGACTCACATCTACAAGGACGTGGGACAATCTGTAGCTGGGCTGTGAATAAAATCCCAAACGTTGGCTTCTGCATTTAGAGAAGCATTTATTTCATACATAAAGCATATCCTCCCTGTGGCTGCACAGGACAGATACCCATTTCCTCCGAGGATTACTGCATGGGTTGGCTATAGTCTTCTTTCCCACTGATTGCTGTGTCCATACATACATTTGGTTGCTTTTGTAATAACAAGATGCTTATTGTTTTCAACATTTTGAAGGTAATGTGTGTGTGTGATTTTGAATTGGATTTCTTTGGAATGAAGATGGTTGTGGTGAATGTCGAGTATTATAGCAGAAGTCAGCATGAGCAGCTGTTGCCTCTGTTCTGTGGATGTAGGTGAAACTAAGGGGGAAAAAAAGGCTAATGCTGGATTATTCTTTGGGTTAGTCTGAAAAGGTGATGCTGGTACCAACTGTATTAGTTATAAATAATTGTGTTATTTTGATTTAATAAAGGTTATTTTTTAAGGAAACACAGGGCTATATATTTTATTCTGTTGATGAACTGGAGCATGTTTGAAGCTGTTTTTTTTAGAATTGAATGCTGCAGTAGTTTGTGGTCAACTGTGAAACATTGATATGAATCACTGCCTAATGATGTATTAATACTGCTTCAAGCTGCTTATGTAAGTTAAGGGAAAGTTGGGATCAGGTTAAACCTATAAGTAACATTTTTGAGTTGACATTCCTCAACAACTTGCATATAAATTCTGATATTAGGAAACATGGAGAAAATCAGGCCCAAGGAGGCTCAAGCAGATACTAGAATGACGTATTTTAATAGTAGAATTGCAAGTTATTTTCAAAGATTTTGTATTTTGATAAATCCAGCTGGTTTTAAAGCTCTCAGAAAATCTTAAAAATGAGTACATCTACATGTTAAAGTCTATAATTACAAGGCCCACAGAGATGATATAAGATCTTCATGTCTTGAAGTTGGTTAAAATTTGTCATTTGCACAGTGTGATCCTATAATTGGGATTCTCCCGCTGGAAAAATCAGAAATGAAAAAGGCCCTTTTGATGGTCTGGTTCTGTGGGCCTGTCTACTGTTGTAACATGTCATATGCTGTATGTATCATATGACCCAGATGCATCTATTTTCATTCTGTATGTTTGCAGAGGTGTAACCAGAGATTTTGATATTTAATACAAGGTGTAATTGCGGGGGTAAATTTAGCAGTGTCTGCCCCACTCTCAAGAAGGCCAACTAAGGCTGCACATGCATGTGCGGCAATATAAATATCCTGCTTAGCAGTCTTTGTTATCCAAATAGACATTTTGTAGATCACAAATTGGATTTTTACCTTGGCCAGTGATATTTGTATCAGTCTCCTTTCCAAAATATTTCCCACGTCTGTGAGGTTATAATGATTGTTTTCACACTAACCACAGCTAGCCAGGAGATGTCTTCTTTATTACGATCTGCTGAATGTGACTTCCTTCCTTAATGCCGCATTGATCCCGGAGTCACTGAAAAGCTGACTTGGCACCAGCTTGTCAAGGACACTTTTTCTGTATTAGCTGTTCCAGACACAGGATAAAAACAGTGGGGTTGCTTAGAGATTTTTTGTGTTTTTTTTTGGAGTTTCCCAATCTGGTCCACAGGAACTCCATAGACAGTCCACATTTTTGCTCCCTCCCACAGTTCTGGGAGGGAGCAAAAACATGGACTGTCGTTGGGTCCCCGAGGACCAGGTTGGAAAACACTGTTATATCTCATTCTAGTGAAGCTTCTGTTGAGTTCTTATTGGGGAGGGGGAGCTGGTGCTTATTCCCCAGGATGGGGTCAGACCATCACAGGGAACATCCACTATTAGGTTAATTGATGTCTCTAAATTTCCCAGTTTGCGTAGGCCTGTCAATAGAGAGTTTTTTCCCCAGTTACCTGTCGGCATCCTTATGGTGGGTCTTCAGAACGTGAAGTCTGACTTTATCTCTGTATATTTTAGGGCGATGGTGGTCTGTTGCAAGGCACAGCCAGTTGGAGAAAATGGTTCCTTTGATAAATATCTTCTGAGTGCTGATACAGCTTGAAATGTAAATCAGTGCTTCCTTGCCAGCCTTTGACCTCAGCCTTCCTCTCTCCTTGCCTTTTCACGAGTTTCCCGTGCTAACTTGTGTCTGTGCTGATCCAGAACATGAGTCCCATCCAGGATGTAACCCATTATAATTTTCAGCACATGATCTGGGTCACTGCTACCCCAATATAGTAAGGATTTTCTGAAAATGGATGCAATGACGTTGCAAAATCTAATTAATTAATGTTAAATTAATTTTAGTCCATGATATTGAGATACATGTCAATAAACAATTCCACCACAGTTACTAAATGCTTGGTTCTATGATTTTGTTCCACAAAATTTGAATGATGAGATTTAAAAAGCTTTGTACTTCATTCTGCTATTTACGTTCAGTGGTTGGCACTTTGTAGAAGTATTTTTGCATTGTTAGTCATATGCAATGGATATTGGCTACAGGTACAAATATAACAGAATAGCTGCATGTATTGTTCTCCACCGCCCTCTTGTGGCAGGAAGTCAAAATGCTAGATTCATGCTATGAGCAAAATAATTGACAAGATATTCTTTTACATTTTTGTAGCTTGTTGTGTTTCTTGCTGGATACACAGACATCTGCTAAATCATCATCACGATCTTCCCCTTTTCCTGTTTTGTCCACCATCAACCACCATTTCCTTACTCTGTATGCAGCTGAATTTGAAACTGACTCATGCTATGGACACTGTTTTCTGTAAATACTGCTTGATTACCTCATTTTAATGTGCCAGGGAATAGTGTTTGGTTTTTGCAATACTGTCTTTTTGGATGTCCTTCCAAATTATAGTAAATGACACTGAAGTACTTTCTGACAGTTTTTTGGACTAAATAATAGTCTGCCTGATAGTAAGAACACTCGACCTGTTTCAGTGCTGAGTTTGATACAGACTGGATAACAATCAGCACCATGACGGCCATGGGGCTCTTAGGGAAATACAGGGGATGTTCCTTTCAGGTGAGGGGGGAAAAACTGCCCCTAATGAATGACCTTTCAGGACCTTGTTCACGAGTGACAGTAAAAGGGAACCTGTGATTGACAGACATGTCCATGTTTGGAAAGTAAGGTGTTGGTTGAGACTCATGGTTTTTGAGTCAATGAATGTTGTTTTTCTCACCTATGGTCATTTAGTTGGCTTTATCTGCGCGTGTGGTGTGGTTTAGCAGGTTAGGATGCTACGCCTGCAATCAGAATGTTGCTGGTTTGAATCACAAGGTCACCAGAGTGATTTTTACCATTGGGCTCTTACCAACAAGGTCCTTACCCCCAATTACTGTCTCATTCTGCTGACCACGGGATTTGAATCAGTGGCCTTAGGGTCACTGGTATAGTGGCTGAGCCACGTAATGCCCCGAAACACAGAGAGCAATCCAAGCAAACAACAGAGCTGAAACAGGCCTGATCTTGGGTCCTTCAGCACAACAGTGATCTCTAACATATTGAGCTAAGCCAGCAATTTGGTCATAACTGTGGGTAGCAACTGAAAGAAAAAGGCTGCGGCTACAGTAAGTGGACAACATGAGGTTTCTCTGCAGGCCTGCTGGGTTCAGGTCTTCACGGCAAGGTGAGGAGTTAAGAACTCTGGAGACACTTCAAAATAGATCCGCTGTTCTTTCGGATCAAGAAGAACCTGCTGAGATGATTTGGGCATCTTAAGAGCGCCAGCTGGTCAGCTCCTGAGGGAGCTGTCCCAGGAGTGTCCTGGGTGGAGGTCCCGAGGAACACCCAGGGCAGGCTGGAAGGATTAGGTCTCCCCACATGGGGATCCCCCAGAAGGTGCTAGAATCTGGTCTGATCCTGCTCAATGTGCTGTCACTGTAATCCTCACCAGAATTGATCTGGAGATGGATGGATGATTATGGATGAGAAATTAAAATAGATTATCGTTATTACCTAAATCTGGACTACATGAACAGAAGTGTTATCTCAGGGCTGGAGATAAAACATTGAACATTATTGTCTTCTTTTTTAATCTTGCCTGTCTTTATTGAACCCAGTTTAATCAGCCATAATGATACCTATCATCTGCAATATTCTGCCTAATTATTGTTGTATAACGAAACTAAATAGACACCCCCCCCCCCATCAAAATACACATTGGAATGGATTTCAGGGTATTACTGGGAAAGATAACTGCCTATTATAATCACATTCTAATTAACCCACACAAAACAACAGAGACAGAGACAATGCCACAAGCCTCATAGGCTTCCTATAATTTAACATTTTATAAACGGAGTGTAAATACTTTTGCACGGTTTGTGATCAGGTAACATGTAATGCATCTAATTTTAATTTTCCTACTTACTTAACAGCCACAAAGTGGATCTAGTTCTGACAAAAAATAGCTGTAATACTCGTACAATTTCAGTGTTATGAATATTCCTATATGAACACAGAATAAATGGCAATATTGTAAATAAAACATTAATTTTCCATTTCCCTGATGAAAAACCCAGGTAAAAAAGTACAGATCACCTATTATAAAATTACATATATTACAAGGATGCAGATTTAGTTGTACTGTAACAGATAGTGTGGCAATGCAGGAAACGCAGGTGCCGATTTCTCTGCTTTCTTAAAGTCCAAAAACAGATACATCAAGCAAACAGGACAGACCCAAAGACCCAAATTTAATCACTCAGCATAAAGTACATTCATTCTTCTATATATTCATGTGACTACTGACATACATATAAACTGAAAAAAAAATTAAGTATATAAATATTCTCATGAACATTTTACAACATTTTACAAAAAAGCTTAATTCTGAATAAATTCATATATCTGGTATCCCAAAATTCTGGCCCCTGGTTGAACACCCAGTGGATGTAACAGGCCACACCTCAGCCGCAGTCCTCTATATCCAGTCTATCTGCAAGCAAAACAGCCACCTCTATAACGTCTGTGTGCAGTACCCAGAGCGCATCACTGTCGTCATCTCCTGGAAAGATTTCCTTATTTTTTTATAATATAGTGATCTCGGTGTCCAAGTTCTGGTACATCTCCTCTTGTCGCTCACAGAAAATCCTTTCCATTCTCTGGAATGCTAGCTGTCCCTTTTTACCTGTAAGGGAAAGTACAAACACAGGAGCACAGAAATTTACAAATGGATGGATAAGTTTGGCAGGAAAGGGCTTGTCTAGGATCCTAGCTATTTCTACTTAAGCTACGTCTCTATGACTCACTCATTAAAGTACTATTCCGATCTGTGATCCAGAGGCAGGAAAATATTTGATTTAAGCTGGAACATTTCAGACAGCATGGGCAGCAGGCGATTGGTTAAAAATTTGGATTTGTGGACCAATGTTATTCCACAGACTAAGGTTGTGAACTGAAGTTTCCATAGATGCATGAATCAACAAGAAAAACATGAAGCAAAGTAAGACATTTATTTTCAAGGAAAAGCAAATGTTCTAACCAAATGTTCTAGGTGGTGTTGAAATAGTTATACCTTTTAATACATTGGTTCACTGATGGATCACCACATCACTATCTACTGTACAAACCCCGGCTGTCCATGGTAAATAACAGAAGCACACGTGTCCATATTGCGCAATTTGCACAAATTTTGAAATGTAAAACTCGTGTTGGTTGGGTGCTAGTTCAGGCATGCGGGGAACATGTGAGGTTATGTTGACTCGCCCCCCTACGGCGTGGCCAGTTTTACCGAAAGACAGCACAGTCTCTCTGGCGGCGTTGCGTAACTCCTCGTCCGCTGACTGCCACAGATCAGCCACCTGCTCCACACTTTCTGTCGCCTGAAGGACAAAAACAACCAGAATCATCTGCCTGCCTCATTCTCTCAAGGCGGAGAATCATTTACTGCTCCCCCCCCGCCCACCCCCGTTTCCAATACTTGCACAGACTCCATCAAGACACCCAAAGCTTCACCAAACCAATCCAAGTTCCGTGTCATTAAAAACCATTAGCGAGGCTAATGGAGACATGAGCAGGTCATTTTCAGAAAGCAAACTGCCTATAAAACACATTTTTAAATCCCCATGAAGTAATAATTACTCTCACTCAAGTGGGACAATTTTTAAAAAAAAGTTATTTCAAAATAAACCATTCATTTTAGCAGCACAGACTAGAATCTAGAGAGAGAAAGTGACGAAATTTGACTCAAAACACCCCCACAAGTAGCAGGAGGGGCAGATTCCCCCCCTCCCCCACAACGAGATGCGCTACGACCACGCAGCTGGTGCGACAGGCTCTGCTTACGCTGAGGCTCTTCAGAGCGAGGCAGGCCGCTCTCTGGAGCTGCGCGTCGGTGTGTCCCAGCATGGTGGTGTAATACACCACAGCCTGTCAGAGGGGCAGACTTTTACTCTGAAACATGAAATAGCTACTCAACCAGCACATATTCAACCACATGGATAAGATAAGATAAGATAAGATAAGATAAGATGCTGATCCCAGGGTAATGGTAAAAAAACAAACAATAAAAAAATAAAATAAATAAATATTATGCTAACAATAATATCATGGCATGGGGGCCACTGCAAATTTTACTAAGTGCTCCTTTTGGTAAGAGACGGTCACACCCCCACCCCTATTAACCCCCCCATGCTGTGAAACCCCTCCTTCACCCCTACTTTTACCCAAAGTGACAATTTATGTGTGTTCCTCGGGATTCAAACCTACAACCTTTGTGTTGCTAGCATAATGCTCTACTTATTGTTACACAAGTAACAACAGAAAGAACCATAACAATAAAATAATAACATAGGAATAGCAGGGTGAAAGAGGAGTGCAGGCGAGAGAGCTGGTGGCCTGGCCTGACCCTACCTTCGCTCTGAAGGCTTTGAAGGCCGAGGCTCTGCACAGCCGCGAGCTGGCAGCCTGCGAGACCTTGCGGTTGTCGTCGGTGTGCATGGTGGCCAGGAGGCGCAGGGTGGAGTGCAGCGGCTGCAGCTCGGAGATGCGCTTCCCCTTCAGCCTCCGGAGGGCCCTCCTCCGCTCGGGGCTCTGGAAGGCACTCACCAGCTGCACTGAAAACACAGCACGGCGCCTGTCACCTTTCAGAGGTCGCGACAGTGGGGGTCACCAGGCCTCCACATGCTACCCCTCCCCACTGATGATTCTCATTGTTTTCCTGCATTTATGAGCGCAGAGGATAAACTCTCCTCGGTCTCACACCCTGCCGCGCTTCAATTAAGGCAGCAGCAGATGTTCCGATCTCTGTGCTGCGTGATGGACGATGTACTACGGGAGAAATAGTGAGCCACACGAGACGTGTTCTCCCTGATCTTAAATCTTCTCGCATAAACAGGTACAATACATGCATCTGAAAACATTAAAAATGAAGTATTTCTAATAAGATCATTTATCATGTGAAAACGTCTATGAGATACAGTAGCGGCATCAGAGACATTTTCCATGTCTGTTGTTACGGGATGTAGACGCACAGGGATTTTGCTCCCTGAAACTCCCATAAACCTGGACCAGTCTCACATAATTACAGCACGCGGGCGGGATCACGTGGCGTACTCTCTTTGGAGAGGCGGGAGACGTGCTCTCCGAAATCCGTCAGGCCCCATCTGGTCAGGTGGTTGAAGAACTGGAAGATGGTCACATGATCTGAGCTGTGCGGAGGCACTGGGACCATCCTGCAGATGGACTGCATCTGCTGAAGCAGCTGCAGGAAAACTGGACACGGGAAAGGAAGGGGGAGGACAGGAATAAGAAAAGGAAAAAGAAGAATAGAAAAGCGTCTAAAATTCATCCACTCATGATGCAGTTAAAATCAGAATGGTTGAAAGAATTAGGGGCGGTTTCATTATATCAAGTAGTAAAAGGAAGCATTGATGATCGCAAGATGGGCAAGTTATTATTTGAAGCTGGACATACGTGTCACCTTGCTAGGGCATAGCAAGGCTGGAAATTTAATTAAGAAATGAAGGGAAATTCAACCTGAAGCAAGCAGTTTCATTTATGGCTCGTTGATGAGGCGTCCCTCAGGTGCGCTGCCCCCTGTCTCACCTGCGTCAGTCTGGCCCGGTTGCTTGGCTTTGACTTTGTGGATGTAGCGTTTGCGTAGCGTCTGCAGGGCCACCTTGGCTGAGCAGCAGAACGGCGACCCGCCGAGAGTGCACTCCTCCCAGAAAGCCAGCAGGCTCTTCTGCCTCTGCGCCTTTGGGACGACTACGACACACCATGGGGGTAGGAGACCAGGGGAGGGTGGGGGGCGGCCCAGCAAGTGTTAAACATGAAGGAAAAGGGGCCTTAATTGTAATAAAGTGGGTTCATAAAAAAACACATTAATGCCCTGCAAAGTTACAGTAAATAAAAAGGCGTGTAAGGCCTATCAGAAGTGTAGCACTCAGAATGGCTATATCATGTCCGTGATGTATGACTCAAACAGGAAAAACATTAACCTTCTAACAAATACGGATACAGAACACGTCTACTGAAATGAAGGGGGGGGGGAAAAATCATCCTTCATTCTGCCACTAGAGGGCGCCTACTGTCTTAAACGGGGTGGCCGGTGTGTATGCAGGTTTTTGGGGTAACCTTTAGGTCAGCTGTACACACCCAGGTGTGAGGACTCTTCAGCCAATCAGTCCTCTAATTAGTAATCTAATTAGGGAGTTGTGGCAAAAACTCACATACATTACTGTCCAGCCCTGGTCTTAAACACTTCCTACAAAACTCGTAAAAACCACGACATTCCAATATGTGCTTAATTTAATAGCATATACAAAAATTCTTGGATTTGAAATGTACAAATGTAATATTATAAGGATGCATTGGCAGGATATCGAAGGATGACTTACTGTCTTTTATTGAGGTCAAGTCTAAATTCTTCTCCAGGGACAACTTGCCAACTTTTTCTAGTACCTTAAGTTGCTGTGATAGTTCATCAAGCAGTTCCTTCTGGACAATAGGTGAATCTGTGCGCTTGATGTGCTGCGATAAGTGCAAAAAAATTAAAAACAAAAACAAATACTCGGTAGGACTATTCAGTTGCCAGATTATTATCGATTTATATTGTTTTTCACAACTGACTTTATTAAAATATTATTTCCTAGTGTAAACACTTGAAAACTTTGCCATAAAACAAATCCTTCCACCTTTAGCATACTATTATTAAAAGAAGCCCCCCACTACCCTGCCTGACTGGGATAAGCGGTTCATCACACCAGCAAAGAACCCATTAGCACCAAAGCTATTGTTTATTCCCCTTATTATCACTTTATTTATGCACATATAAAACAAAGAAGAAACAAGCAATTAGACTATTCGGTTAGACTTTCCTCGATGGGACACAAATACTTACTGAAGTACAAATCATGAACAAATCACAAACAAATATCCTCGCTGCTTAAGATAAAAGATGCATCATGATTCATTAATGATGAACAAACATGAGATCAGTATGTAACTAAGACTTAGTTTGTGGTTAACTAATACATAAGTAATAGTATTTGTGCCCGGTCAAGTAGTGTTAACAACTATTCTAACTTAATTCAGAACAAAGACTTTTCTGCTTGAAGACCTGACTAAGACATGATGACAGAGCGCTTGCTCACCTGCAGAAGCATGTTACACATGCCGAGATGAATTTCCAATGTCTGATCCAGGCCACAGTGCCCCGTGGTCAGAGGTATGCTTTCTGCTTTCTTCTGAGACTGTACGTCTTGTGGCGTCAGGCCCAGGATTGTCAGATTGTTCCCCTTAAATGAGCTGATTCTGTGGAACACGGGAAGATGCTGATGACCAGAGTGGGCCACTGGGATGAATCTGCCCCCCAGCCCACCACATGCGTGTTGGGGCCCCCTTAAATAAGTCCTTTGTTTTCTCAGTAATAAAACCATGCTTTCTCAATCTGTGTGAAACATGCTACATTCAGCAAGGGCCCAAGCAGCACGCTGTGGTGTCCCCCCCCCCCAGGAAATACTCACTGCTGGAGACACAGGACCCACCCGTATTTTCACGACTGGCTACAGGAAATCCTACATTTTCTACAGTGTATGTACATACAGTATGTTACTCCATGCCTTCCAAATGCAGTGAGGAGGCTCAGCCGTCACCTTGCACTCGCATTTGAATGGTATCGTGACAGAACAGCCAAACGTTTCATTTTCATTTACATTTGGTTGCTCAGCTAACACTTTAAGCCAAAGCAAAGGTACTGTAACTCGAGCACGTTGATGTGCTTAATTGTCATCTGCTTTTAAAAAGTGTGGGGGGCACAGACTTTAATGCAAACTGGATGCCTTTGTGAAGTGCGTTTTAAGGGTGATCTGTATGGATCTGTGGGGATGAGCTTATCCATCTGAAGACTGTGTCAGTTTCTCCTTGTGAGTCTATTGATCTGAACGCTGAAGGAGGTGATGGAGCACTCACTCCGGATTCCTCAGCCGCACGCTGCCCAGGGAGGAGACTTCGTCTGCGTTGAAGTCCATGGAGAGAAAGTCAAAACTTCCAAGAACCTCTTCCACGGACAGGGTCTCTGTAGGGGACGGCTTGGGCATGTAGTTATCGTTCTGGATGGAGAGAAAAACTATCCCTTTATATGATTTACTCAAATGTGCACTCAACATTCGCTAACGCAGAGAGCCTGCTCCTCCAAACAGTGAAACAAGTGACTGTAATGCATGTAACACACAGTCAGGGTCCAGAGCTTCCCTTGTTGACTAAATCACGGTCTTAATGATTTTAAAAGTTGGGTGACCAGTGGTGGCTCCAGCATCTCAGAAAAAGCCACCCTCCGGTCTATAATTTACAGAGAACAGTGTGATGAAGAGTAAATGTGGCATTTCTGTGGCCAAAAACACCTCATCAATGAATGAGGTCAAAGGAAAATGGCCAAACTCGTTAAAGCTAACAGGAAGGTCACAAGTGCAAAAATAACAGCTCAGTACTACCCTGGTCCGCAGAAAGGCTTCTCCGAACACAAAATTAATCTACATTAGAACCAATTGTAGAGGCACAAGAAAACAAGTATTAGACATACTCACAGAGTGACCACTGAGTGTAAACTTCAAAGAGTAATGGTGCATCTTAAGAATGACCATCAGTAAGACTACACAGGCCAGAGGTGACCGATCTTATCCACAAAGGGCCGGTGTGTATGTGGGTTTTTGTGATAACTTTTAGGTTAGCTGTTCAAACCCAGGTGTGAGGACTCTTCAGCCAATCAGTCCTCTACTTAGTAATCTAATTAGGGAATTGCAGCGAAAACCTGCTTACACACCGGCCATTTCTGGATAAGACTGGCCACCCCTGGCATAGGCAAATTTCTGCCTTTGAGAGTAAACATGCAGATTTGTAATTCAGGATGTCCATCTGGGACCCACTTTTAAGATGATCTTGAAACGCTGGACCTGCTTCTCCAGCTTCTCCGTTTCGGGCTCGCAGATGTGTTTCTGCTGAAGCTCTGCCTCCAGTTGGCCCAGATGACTGCTGATGGCCAGAGCCAAGGCTCTGCTTTGAGCACTGGTGACCACTGGGATGGTCAGGGGTGGGCCCTCTGGGTTCTTGAAGGAGAGCGGCTCCATGACGCTGACGTCCTTGCTGACGGCCTCCATGTGCTCTGTGTGTCTGACGGGGGCAGAGCCTTCATTCTGCTTGAGGATGTCAGGGGTGCCATACCGAGGGAGAGAAGGCGTCAGCCTCCTGGGAGTAGCTGGGCAATGATCAGAGTCAGGCAGCCAATCAGTGCTGCCCCCTGCTGACAGCTTCATTCCCATATGGTCCCGGGCATCGGATGACCTCACGCTGTTAATTTGCATCTCACTTCCCCCAAAAATGGAGGGCATAAAGACCTGGGAGGTATCTGACAGATAGCTCAGTAGGGAAATCCCTCTGGATTCCTGGGAGCTCACAGAAAAGGCGTTCTCAGAGTCCTGGAACTGCTTGACCATAGTCTACAAAAAAAGGGGAAAAAAAAACATTCTTTTTACATTGCCCCTACCTCGACATTCACAAATCTGTTTCTATATGAGGATCACCATCTGGTGAGACACATTCCAAATTATCACGCTACACCGCAGGAAATCAGCAGCAGGGGTAGGAACATTCTTAGGGGAGATTTATAGGTGAAGTTGCAGGACAGTACATAGCATGACAAGTCTGAGCAAAAAAGATATACGTTCATACCTGAAAGCCCAACAGCTGAATTAGTTTGACACCTGGAAGGGTTTAGCTTAGCGCTGTTTTGCCATTGCACAGATGTATTTCAGCATTGAGTTTGCACTGGTTTCAGTGGGAAACTTACAATGAAGTACTTCTCCGTGAAACTAGGAGTGCTGGGAGGGGTCCAGCTGTAGATGGAGCCCTTTCGGCTATGGATGGAGGGCTTGCTGGGGGATGGGGTGACTGGTCTCGCCTCCCTACTGTCAAATGGGCTGGTGGAAGGGAGAAGTTACACCAGACTAATCGCTGAGATCGAGATTTGCAGTCTTTCACAACCGTCACCCCCCCCCCCCCCCCCCCCCCACCCCCCCCGACCTGTTCTTCCCCAAGAATAAAAACAATCCCATGAACTTGACTTGAATCAGTTTCATGCAAATATTGGAATTCCCCACGTAGTGTGATTCTGCATTCTTATCATTTGAAAAGTGATGTCATCACTAGTCCAATAAAAACTGGGGAAAAAAAAAATCCTGCTTTGATATTAATCTGCGTGGCCTGCTGCCCAAAGTTTGAAAGCTCATTCGTTTGGTTTGTAAAATCTAGAGTAGTGCACAGGACTGTGACCTGAATGAAAAACACTCAGAGATTCCCCTCAACCAAAGCCGCCATATTTTCTGCCAGCCTTATGGTGCGTTCGTTTTTCTCTCGGAACTCGGAAATTCCGAACGTCCGACAATCTCCCGTTTGAGCTACCACATCTCGGAACAAACATGGCTGCCTCCATGAACATGCTGCTGTGTGTTGTTGCTTTATATTTTAGCAGATTTGGAGTGAGAAGCAAGAAACACGAACTAGGCAAACCACATTAAAAGCTTTATAAAATATTTCATAGCGATATTCTTTTTTCGTGAGGCAAACAAACTACAAACAAACCAAAGACACTAACAACGTCATAAAAGAGGCGTGTTTCCAACGGGAAGTGACGTTTTTCGTGACGTTTCATGACGTTTTCATTCGAGTTCCGACTTGGAGAGGAATAATGGAACGCACCATTACTCCACATGAAATCTGAATAATCATAGTCAAGCGATCAGCTGGTGAGTGCAAATTCCTCTTTCCAAAGAACGACTCTGTTCTTAATAACTCTGGCTTTAGCATGGTTTTATGAACAGTCACGGTGATAATTAGCACTGAAAGGCAGGTTTGGTAGCCCATAACAGGGTACTCACTTCCACAGCACCTCCAGCTGAAGCTTGATGGTGCCCAGCTCCGTGATATCTACCACCATCATCTGTGGCTGCGCCGTGAAGAAGTCCGCACTCTCGCAGGTAACCACGCCCACAGGCACTGAGACCAAGCCCTTCACCTCCGTCACCTGCAGGTCCGAAGGTCACAGCAGAAGAGAAAACTCAGGCATGTGTCACACAGATTTTACTTCTGCATCATTTAATTCCCTGTACAGAAGCTTTCCGTGTTACGATGCCGTTACGTTCCGATAAACCTCATAAGGCAATAATATCGTAAGGCGAACATGCATTTGAATACAGTACACCTAACCTAACAAACATCTTAGCCTAGTCTACCTTAAACATGCTTAGAACACTTAGATTAGCCTACAGTTGGGCAAAATAAAGCCTATTTTATAATAAAGTGTTGATTTTCTTGAATAATCATACCCATCGTAAAGTTAATATATCATAATATGGACCATCGTAACCTGGACGCTCTGTCTGTACATCGGAATCTCGGACTCCTGACTTTATCCCAGGACCATTGCAGAAAAAGCGTTTGGAATTATAACCCCGCAGCTGATATAAATCTGCCAAATAAATGTCAAGCAGCTTGCTTTAATTACAAAAGAATAATAAATTTGCAAATACTGATGTGTCTCATTTACTAACACATTTAACATTAGAATAGAATAGAATAGAATAGAATAGAATAGAGATACTTTTTTCATCCCTATGGGAAAATTGACTATTATACCCCATTTAAGAAGAAAAGCATAATGAGATGTAAAGCACAAAAACGTGACTTAGGTTAAAATTTCTTTTGAGGCTGGTTCAAAATCTGCAGTGGGGATGCAAGTTCATCACTGACATGCTTCTACATGCCAACACAATGTAAAATCGGGCAGGGGAACCAAGAGGAACACCGGGAGAACATAACCATCCCCACCAGCAGAGCTGGACTGCTGGGTGATCTACTGAGAAATACCCCCCCCCCCCAGCTTGCAGCTAGCGGCAGATGAAGGGACCAACGCCTTCATATTGTTTTTTTTACATTACCCTATGTTTCCATAGAGTATTTCTGTAGGAAACTCCAAAAGGGTTCTCCTTATCAACAATAAGAATCAATGATTCTATGTCATACATCCAAAATATAGGTAAACACAAAGGTATCAGGTAACTGCTAGACAGTTACAAGCTGTATTTGAGCTGCAGCAAGTATGTTCATGCGCTAGCTATCCATCACCAGGGGGTACAACCTCAAATATTTCATAGGCCTAGTCTCTCACCTTTATCTCAAAGTTTTCATATATGTGAGGCAGGAAGACCATCTCCTCCTCATCCCACGATTGCTGGTCATCTGCCTGGATCTTCCCTCTTATCCTCCATCTCTGCCTTCCCAGGCGGATAATTACCTGTATGAGTAAGGAAGAGACCTCTGAAGAAGGCAGAAACTGTAACATTATGCATATGCAGACGCTTATGTGTCGCATCGAGATGTTCTTTGGGACTAACTTGATTCTTTTGGTTGAAATCTCAGCAGAGGCTACATGATATTTCGATTATCTGATTACAATACAGTAAAGCTGGATGCAAAGGAAACCAGCTGAAATCCCACCTCGTACTGATCTCCAGGACAAAGACGAGCGAAGCCGATCAATCCTGTTGATCAGAAACAGGAACCGCAGCAGCTAATTTTAATACAGTTCATTCCTCTCGCATCATGTCACACTTCAAAGTCATTTTCTGTAGTTTTGGAATAACTCTTATAATAGTCATTCTATCATAACACTGGTATATCTCAGAGAACTATTTCTGAAAGCATTTCAAGAACATTGAAGTTCACACACCACGTTGAGGGACCAAATACCTTTCATCTTGATGCGCAGTTCACCAAGGAGAATCTCCAGTTCTCCCACCATGATGTACATGTCCTGAAAACCGGGTGTTGAAAGGTTTTAACAAAGAATCATTCTTTTTACTGGTCTGAGTAGCTAAATATGTATCTAATGGACTACGTAAAAGCAACAAAAATCATTCCAGCTACTCCTAATTACTGTGTCAGTTGAATTATCAGACACATGTTAATTCAGGGCAATTACAGTTATATGGTCATCCTTTCACACCTGCAAGGGTTAGGGGTAGAAGATTCCTGCAGATGTGAAAATTAGCTAATAATACTTCGACCCATTATTAAATATGCAAAAGGAACAGCACTGAAAGGTTTAAAGGTTACTGCGAGAAACACTGATATTCCATGGTCACAGAGACAGCTAAGTGAGGGGGGCTGGTGGCTGAGACTGAGATGCCCGACGTTCCCAGGCAAAGATCCGTAGCTCCCACAGTTCTTTGTTTTTTTTTTTTTTACCGAAAATAACTTTTTATATTAAAAATGGTATTTATGTACACAAACAAATATTAAATAACAGTAATATTTATGTATTTTATGATTATATGTGATCCAAATTGTCACGATTTGACCCAGGGATACAGTGATGTCCCACAATGCAGGGGGACTTCATTTAAATCACTATACAAATAAGAAACGAAAGGGACCTTGAGCGGTGACAATCGTGGGCAGACAGTAATCAAAGATTAACGAGGGCTTGGACTCAGGAAGAGAAACACCATGGGATTAACTGAAAGGTCAACATAGGGAGTAAACAAGCACACACTACGCTGTACATCAACAATGACCAAGAAGGAGCAAGGCAAGAGCAGGCATGTATATACCCAGATAACATGGACTAGACCAGGGACAGGTGTGAATCACTGATAATAAGCCAAACACTAGGGATCACATTTAATGAGCCCCAAATGGGAAACAGGTGTGAGAGATAGAGACAATAGGCTAGGAAACATTAGGAACACACGGGATGACCAGTGACATCTGCTGGCCAAACAGGAAAATGATGGGTCAAGTAGAGACAGATCCTGACACAAATTCAGTATTGTTTATATATTTTTGCTTACATATCATCTGCAAGATTCTGCGATTTATCGGAAAAGGCTCCATAACTATTCCCATTTAATTGTTCACGGCCAGCTTGCGGAAAAACCATGAATGTCACGTTCGCAAGTCTGCGGGGTCGACTGTAATTCTCCACTCTTGGTGCCTTGTACCCCCTCCCAAAGAAAGGCTGTACCTCCAGGCTGAGCCGGTGGCTTCGGTTGAGCTCCAGCAGGCTACCCCGAGAAGCACGGGTTGTTGGGGAAAGGGAGAAGGCTTTCTTCATATTCATAGCCCCCTGACAGAGACGCCACTGGATAGAGTATGTTTCATACAGCTCCTCCACCTAAAGCAGACGGCCATTTTACTAAGACTGATAATATATCATGGATCTTCGACTTTTGTTTTTGCAGGGCTCAAAATATGGAAATGGCAGGTGGCCAAGCGGATGAGGGATGCTGCATATGCTTTTAATTTTTATAGACAGATCCCTGGATTTATTGTTTACAGCTCATCCTGAGTTGTCATGCTTATTATCAGGAGTACTGGACTGTCTGTACCTTACTGATGTGGAACTCCAGCCTGCGTATGTACCGCTCCAGAATGCGAATCTCCTGTGCTCAGGAAACAGGGGAGGCCCATTAGGTGACAGCTGACTGGTCGCTCCAAAAGGAAAAAAAAAAAAAAAAAAACCAAAAGCACGAAGACAAAAGGAGAATCATGCATGAAGAAAGCACAGATGCTGGATGAATGAGGGAAGAAGGAAGTTTTTAGTTTTTGCCTTAAGCTTAAAGTGTTTGGCAAGAATAAATTTAATTTGAGAAGTTATCTATATATTTTTTTTACTTTATATCTCTAAATTTAAATCATGTAGTTAATGTGGGCAGGGGTTTGGTCATAAGCATTGATCTGAAAGATTCAATCTCATCTTTCTGCTGCTCAACCAGGAGACTGAAGACTGATGTGAGTGTGTGTTTAAGGGGACTGAGGGATGAGAAGAGGAAAGATCCAAGCAAGGAACAGCAGACAACAGAAGAGAACTTACCTTTTCCAGGTCATAGAGAAAAGCCTGCAATTTAAAAGGAGTGCAGTTTAGCCCAACGGAAAAGTACGTGAATATGTCTCTGCAGGCACTGACAGAGCTTAAGAATTATCTGAAAGAATTTTTTTCAGAGACAAGCAAGGACCTAAAATCACTCTCCTTTGGTACCTGCTGTCAAACTGGTCAAAAATAAAGAGGTCTGCTTTTATAAAACAAGAAAGCCACAGAATGTCTAAATCCTTATAACTAATTTAAATAGCTGTCAACTCAAATTTGTAATAACAAATCTGTTGGCTTTACTTTTGTTCTCCACAATCATCCACATAGCAGGCGAGTGACTGTCAGGGCGCTTAATCATAACAGACCCCCCAAGGCACAATGTATTACAATGTATTACAATGTATCATAATGTATTACAATGTATTACAATGTTTTACCTGCCTGATGTTTAAATGACACAAGTTCTTTTGCTGACCTCAGGCTCCATTCACACTATAGGCTTTTTACGGTTTGTGTGAGGATCGCTGGGAATATCTTACCAGTCTGGAATTTCTCTTGCTGTCCCTCTGCTGTGAAGTAAGGAAGTCCATCTCTGCCTGATGGGCCTGAAGATATTCCCTGTCAACATAGGAACAGGGCTGAGAACAGCTAACAACAACATCTTCACCTTGTGCCATGTGTCCAGCTGTGTGCTATCTGTCAGATCCACATGATTTCCCAGTAACTATTTTGCAGTAGAAATGAGACTGATACTGCATATCACTAATACTACTCACATACTCACAATGGTTTCATAACTCTAAATATTTATATATATCAGTATGATCTTCAGCTGAAATCACAGAGCGTCTTGTGTTACTAACATTTGGTGTTTGTTGAGTAACAAGCTGTTTTCAATTTTTAACCAATAGGGCTGCATTTCAGCAACTTAATTTACAGTTTTTTTATGGAAAAATTTCTGGCCAAGAAAAATGCATTTTTCAGCTGTTTAAAGATGCTTTCTAAATTATGAGATTAGGTTTAAGGCTTGGGGTTAGGATTTAGCAATTAGGGTTAGTTATAGCTCTAAAATACTTACTTAAGCCCCTTCCTCAGTGCCTGGAAGACCCTATCAACTTGACTGGACTGGGGGCCCCATATGCTGCTGCTCAACCTGCCAGAGGAGTAAGGCATTCTGGGAGATTTCCCTGATAACCCTTTGGACCTTAAGGAGCTCTGCACCGAGGAGACACTGCAAAAGCAGGTTTAACAAATGAAATCAGTAACTGTAACAGATCAGTAACATTCACTGTACGTGAAGCAGTTGACAGTGAGGATGGTGTCACAATGTTGACGTTAATGGACAGATGAGACCAAAGTGGTTCAAAAATGGGACAGGTAAGTACTGGACAGGTACGAGATATCAACACACTGACTCAAGAAGATACATGGAGGAAGGATAGATGAGTATGGATCATCCTCGGGGATTCACAGTCGGTCCATGTTTTTGTTCCCTCCGAGCTCCCTGCCAGACTGTCCACATTTTTACACATTTTAGCAAAAATGTAGACTGTCTGGGGATCCTTAAGGACCGGATGGGGAACCACTGATTTAGAGGATTACAGGATGAAACATAAGGGGGAAACTGGTGGAAATACAAGGCATAAGACAGGAGGGAGATGGAAGAGGTGGACAGGGACCAGGTCAGGAGGAGCGTGTACCGGCGTCGGCTGTTCAGGGTGCTGAAGCCCGTGAATGAGCGGCTCCGTTGGACCCCACCCTCAGCCGGATACTCAAAGCGCAGCTTGACCGACATCACCTGCTCTCCGTGGAATCTGCAAAAGGCAGGCAGGCATCAGCCACGACTCTGCATCTCGACCCCCTCTTGTTCCTCACTCAGTCCAGACGCCCATGTACCCCAATAAGCAAATTCACCCCATGGATTTCACACCAAAACGCCTGTAAATGGGCGGTGTGGCTCAGCGAGTTAGGTCTCTGTGCCTGTGATCGAAGGGCTACCATTTTGATCGGCAAGAGGGTTGCATCACTGTTGCCCTTTGAGCAAGGCCTGTAACCCACTGGCAAATTCTCTAACCCAAAGCTTTGCTCTCTCCTCTATATATTTGAAAGAAGAGTAAGGAGGGATATGCAGAAACTGACAGATTGCTATGTAATTGTACATATGGTGAATATAGTATCATTTAAATGAGAGGCAGGGAGGTTCCCCTGTAAGGGCGTCGGGGGAGGGGAGGGGAGGCAGGGAGGGAGAAATGCGTGTGTCCTGATAGCAAACCCAGAAGCCCTGGGTAGTAACTGAAATCCTGCTTCCCCATGCGGAAGTATAATTCAGAGACCTTTCTATGCACATATCACACTTTCTGGAGTCACCCCTTGTAATCCTCTGTTCTTACTAATAATCAATAATAATAATAATCACTTTACAAAAGTATGCTACCCTGTTACACCTCAAAACATCCATGCTTCCTTCCAGTCTCCTTCCTGTCACCGTCACCAATGCTATGGTGTTAATGCCGCATCAGCTTGGGAAAAAATCCAGCATCCTGTTCTTTAAAAATGCGAGTAGGAAGTATCAACACATGTTCCAAAGATAAATACAGCTTTGAATGTTTGTACCTACAGGTAAACAAGGACACCCATAAATGGCTATTAGTGCAGGTGTTTCACTGCATTAGCGTCAACACAGAAGGAAACGCCCACACATAGACAGGAGGTGCTGAAGACATAATGAAATACTGCTACTTGATTTAAACACATGCATGAATAAATTGCTTTGCTTTTTACTATGTTCCCCATAAACATCTATCCATCCGTATGCCAACTGCTTATCCAGCACGAGGTCACAAGGGGCCTGGAGCCTATCCCATATATATATATATATACATACACACACAGTCACAGACACACATTTCCTGTAAACCTGCAATTTAAATCATTAATTAAATAATTTATTAAATAAAAATAAATAAATTGAGAACATTTCAAGTCTTTCGGCTTAGTAATTTGAACCATAATCTCACACCTCCGGGACTCGAAGTTTAATTCCTCCTCCTTCCCAGCTAACAGTTTTTACTTCTAAGCATGTTTACTGAATGTTACGATTAAGGTATGGAAATGGTCAAAGTGTCCAGTTTGCCTGATGCTCCCAGAAGGTTATCCCACTACTATAACCGCTACTACAACTAAGACCAACTAAATTAGATATGACTAGATATGACAAAGCAGCAGGAGACACTGTGGCTTGGCATGTCTAAGGCCATGGGCTCATGGCTCAATGGTGGATCTGCAACATACACATACAGTGTTTTTATCAAACAGTAACTTAATTATAATATTTACATTGAAAGGATGTTAAGGTAATAATGTTATCGTGCTAACATTGACAGAAACTGTAAATTGCCGATAATAATGTTCCACTAACGTTACAGTAAGAACATCATCTGGGTAAACCTTTACGTTGGCTAAAGTTCTGGGAACATTGCCTGTCAGCTGGGTTGCATGGAGTTTGCATGTTCATACGGGTTTCATTCCGCATACCAGAGACACAGAATTAGGTAAAGTGCTGACTCTGAATTCCCCATAGTGGGTGATTGCATGTGTGCTGTGTGATGAACTGACATCCCATCCTGGGTGTGTCGGGCCTTGTGCCCTGTGCTTCTAGGGATAGGAGCCGGTGCTTGTGTTTAACGCTGTTCTTGTATCACATGTCATCTTTCTCTTCGATCCTCTTGTTCCAGTAAGACCAAAAGTGCATATTTTCTCACAGAATAATGGTAAAATGAAATAAAAAGAAAACAATGGATATGGGTTAATCCCAGGGTAAGAAAAAAGCAGACGGCTGTTCGCTTTATTGGATCTTCACAAGCACCCAAGAGGAGGAAAAAACTGCAAAAAACTGAAAAAACGTGTTTATTGTGGAAGGCAGAGCATCTGACATGTGTAAATAACAGTCACAGGGTAGTCAGTCCCTAAAATAAATAAACAGAGCTGATTTAATTGGAATAAGATGACAAAAGAAACCGTGGCACACATGTTCCGCATTGTTCACATTACAAAGCAGTCGTGCACGTTGTTTTAATAAACATGATGCTTGAGGGTCAAAAACATACACTGCACATGTTTACACAACTTTTTTCTGTGTGATAACAAAGTTAATGCCTCTGTGTTTGCAAGGAGAAGCAGATAGTGTGTTTCTTATGCGGTGCGAGAGAGGGTACGTAAATAATAGTGAAGCAGGTTTCTACAAACCTTTTAAATCTTGATCTTGCATTAACTTTGGGTCGACGGGTCTGTTCATGGTATCCTCTAGACTAGGAGAGTCGCTGCCAAATGAAATATCAGTGCTGGCATTATTTCCAGGTCGTAAAATCGCTGTACGGTGACCGAGTATGACTCTACACCGTAAGGAGATGAATCACTAAGGCCGTACCACTGCTATTTTTATCAAATGATGCACTGTCAAAAACGTTTGTCGGGACGTACAAACATCTGGAGTCAAACGGATATCAGGTGTGCATGTCTTCGCATTACAGATAAACTTATTGACATAAAAGGTTCTGACAGAACTTCAAGCACTGAATCATAAGATACATGCACAAACACATCTTTATGGGGACCGCTCATTCATTTCTATGGGAAAAATGCTAATGCTAACCATGACAACCTTAACCCCTACCCAGTCCTAACCATAACCATAAGTAAGCAAGCAAAATACAAGAGTTTTTGCATTTTTAATTTTTTCAATGCAGTCACAGATTTTTGTTAAATTGAGTGGTGGGTATTCATCACATTGTGGGGACATTGTGCTCACATACATACACACAGAGAGAGAGAGAGAGAGAGAGAGAGAGAGAGAGAGAGAGAAAGTACTATGAATGTGTGAAACCAAAAGAAAATGATGAATGACTTAAACTAATTTTGTTTAATGTTAAATACTGGGATTGGATGGGTCCTACCCAAAGAAATACTGTGGCAGCTTAGTAACACATGACATAAGATAATGCTATTTAAAGCTACTTTGGAGGATTGAATAAAGCCTGGGATATTTAAGCTTAAATCATCAAATGCTACCACAGTCCAATAGCTGTTGTCAGAGGCTGCAGATGAAGCAGCTCAATGAATAGGTCAGTTATAATGAGAACAATACCTGCATGTGAAAAGATTCCAAATAGGCAAATAAAATTTTCATTTTAGCTTGCTAGCAGCTAGTTGTTCCCCCCCGATTTTGATGTTCATTCCTAACGTTTTTAATGTTATTATGAGTATATTTGATTTAGAACAGGCTGTCAGAATAAGAGGTTCCTACTACTACTCTTCGAAGTAAAAGGATTCTCCAGAGCTTTTCGATGAAAAGAAGAGATGGATGAATATTCCGTTTTGTTCGTCATTCCTTGTCATCTCCCCAGCTTAGGGATTTACCCTTCTGGATCAGCCTTCTTTCCACTGCAGCCCCAAAGGCTGGCCGGGATGTGTGGATGGCAGGGTGTACGCTCCCAGAGTGTGCTGTCTGCCAAACACTCCCATGGGATGGAATCGGCCTGCACTGGCTGGGGGAACAGCACATCTCTCGCTGTGGGCAACCAGCACATCTCTCGCTGTGGGCAACCAGCACCCCCACCCCCCACCCAAAAAAAGCTGTATGAATAGCATTTATATTCCGATGCCAAATTTCCAGTCACAGTTACCCATCCATCCATCCATTGTCCAACCCGCTCATCCTACTGGGTCGCGGGGGGTCCGGAGCCTATCCTGGAAGCAACGGGCACGAGGCAGGGAACAACCCTGGACGGGGGGCCAGCCCATCGCAGGGCACACTTGCACACCATTCACTCACACATGCACACCTAAGGGTAATTTAGGAACTCCACTCAGCCTCAGCATGTTTTTGGACTGTGGGGGGAAACCCCATGACGACATGGGGAGAACATGCAAACTCCACACACATGTGACCCAGGTGGAGACTCAAACCCAGGTCCCAGAGGTGTGAGGCAACAGTGCAAACCACCGCACCACCATGCTGCCCCAGTCACAGTTATATCTTGGGTTAAAACTAGCTGACATAGTTCACACTGAAATCTCAAAATGACTTAGTTCAGACTGCAACCAGCCGTTTACAAACTCAGACTCAATACAGTGGTTAGCAAAACTCAGACTCAAACCAGTGGTCTACATAACTCAGACTAAAACCACTGGTTTATTTAACTGAGACTCAGACCAGTGGTTTGCACAACTCAGACTCAAACCAGTGGTTTACATCACTCAAACTCAAACCAGTGATTTATGTAACTCAGATTCAAGTGAAAGTGCACATACACCACACCCAAACTCATGGCTTAAGAACCACAGACTCAAGTCGGTGATTCACCTAACTTAGACCTGAAAGAAGGCTTAGAGGAGAACCTATCTGCTTATACACAAAGTTAAGGGGAGTTTCTCAGTGCTGAATATGCTGCAATCCAGAAAGCTGTACTTTTAAGCAAGAGCAAAATCATTCAGTTCATATTAAGTAACGCTGCAGAGGCTGTCCCGATTCGAAGAGCCAAATTTGCATTAAATAACATATTAACTGTAATTAATTGTTGCGAAATTTTGGTATTTTATTTCTCAGATTCAGGATGTTTCACACTATGCATGTGAACACAGCTTTCCACCCCATGTTTGTGGTATCTTTCAGGGAAACCATTATGTGGAGCTGGTGGGGGGATGAGTCATCAGTAACGCTTAACCCCGACATTGTCTACCCTAGCAGAGTACTCAGAATCCCTGGGCTTTCCGCCATGTGTGACGTCAGGCTAAAAACCCTGTAAATACACTCACAATTTTCCATAGTTTGGCATTAACTGGAGAGTAAGGCTAGTTCCCCTGTGTATTTATGGAAAATATGCTGGAAAATACCTGCAGAAAAATCAACAGACCGGTAAAACCTAAATCACATTAAATTAACTAAAAAAAATTCTTTGAAAATCTGGAGTCACGTTACAAAAAGAGCAATGCGAGCGACTCAGCCTTCTTAAGCCGATTGTGTGCTGCACTGACCACGATTTTCCTTCTTAAACAAACACAAAGTTGCCAGTCGAATCTGGGCTCGTGTGCGGAACAGTGGCTCTGTTCTGGGGGTCTTTAAAAGACATTAGCAGGCGGCCAGTGGGGGCAAAGCGAATGTTAATCTTGCAGAGAGCGAGGCACGTGTTCCCGCAGTCCCGGGGTGGCCAACGGAGAACATTTTCACCGATGCTGAAAGGACCCGGGAGGGAGGCGGGGAGGGGAGAGGGGGTTGGAGGAACGTGGGGCTGCTCTGAGGGGGGAAGCAGGAATTCGGAGAGCGAGCGCTGTCCTTTTCAACAGGCTGTCCCCTTATTCCCCCACTTTCTATTCTTTCACTCTTGCAGTCGAGGGAGAACATTGCCAGCTGTGAAACAAAGCACTGGAAATTCCCTTCCATCTGTTCTGTCCGCCGATATTTTATTGTTTTGAGCATCGAGGAGACGGAGACGGAGGAGGAACATGCAATCCGGAGAAAAACGATTCTGTGCGAGCCCCCTCAACAGGAAATCGAGTGGTCTGCGAAAGGGAGAGGTCCTCTGAAGGCCTTTGCGTGATGTATGCTTTCCACACGGGGCACACATGGTGGACTGGAGGCGTTGGTTCTGCTGGTGGGGGGCGGGGAGGGGACTAGACAGAAGGCAAGTAAATCACAAAAGCGGTCAGGCAGAATCGGTGAGACTGCCCTAACCCCTGCCCGCGGCCCGCTGCCTAGCCTCGCTGGAACAGCAGATACAAACGAATGGAGCTGAGCCACGCACCGTCCACACAGGGAGGCCCACTCATAAAGACTGTACCATACAGAGAACGCACTATTAAATCTTACTAATGACGTAACCCCAAGACCTGTGGCACAGTGCCTGGATAAAAGATATTTTCAGAGACCTCCAACCACACATATAATGGCAGTTTTTAGATGGGCTTTTCTAGTTTCTGGCTGTTTTATTCTTATTATTATTGTGAGTGCGGTTGGTAGGGTGCATGAACGTCGACAGACTCAGATTTCGAAAAGAACAGAAGAAAGTTTTCTTTTATTACTTTTATTATTTGGGAATCCTGCTGTTTGTGAATGTAATGGCCTGGAGATCCCTACGTGTGCTGTGACAGAGAGTGTCGTGTTTCTTAGTCGCATTAAAGAGGGAGATTAGTGACCAAGAATCAGTAGAAGAAAGTTTATAGCGAAACTCTTTCCTGGGCAGTATGGAATACTGAATCCCGTAATACACTAATCCTACAATTGCAAATTAAGAAGATCATCCAAACATGGAGGTTAGAAAAATAAGGTCATGTCCAGTATGCTGTGACTGTCTAGTTCCTGTTTACTTTACCTCTGCGATGGTGCACTAGTAAGCACACAGACATACTGTAAAACTTGCAGGACACCTGTAATGGCAAGATGGTCACCTTGAATCAGGACACTACGGTGTCCAAAACCATGTCTACTGGGTTTAGGTTAGGTGGCCAGGTCATGTGAAATAATGCTATCACTCCCCTTCGTATGTCTAACCCAGGGGTTGGTGAACCTGATCCTGGAGTGCCGGGATCGAGCAGGTTTTCCATCCTACCTGGTCTCTGATGAACCACACCTGATCTCAGGCAGACAGTAACTCATCAGGTAGGAGATACGCAAATGACGCCAAGCTTGGGGATCACAGGAAGGCTAGTTACCTACGGTGCCCATGGATCTGGGCATTAAGGGCCTCGCTCAAGGGCCCACAGACATATGACTATTCTGCTGATGCCTAAACCAGAGACCTTCTGATCACAGGCACAGGGTCTTAGCCTGCAGAGCCACACACTGCCACCTAAGCAAAACCATGGCCATGCAGATGAGGAAAGATGGAATCAAACGGGAGCCTAAGCATCCACTAGAATCAGTATTTTGTTTTTTGTTGCCGATTTAATAACGCCAACAGCCTACAATCATGTTTTTCTGTAATGCCAAAAGACACGCAGCTTTGGGTCGTCTGCTGTTGATGCTAAGCTTCATTTGCCCCGTGACAAAACAATCAATGACGTCACCTTGGAGAAACACAGAATGTCATCGGGGCTTTTTTTCTGGCACATCAGATGCCCTGGTGCATTTAGCAAGTGTGAAAATTCAGTGAAAGCACCCAGGCATAAATGGCTATCAGCTGGCAGAACTTACTCTACTTCAACATCTCAAATACTGTCATCCTGATGACAAAAACACAAGCTAAACAGCAAGAACAATGAGGCACTGGAGAGCACTGTCCCAAATATTTTGCCCAGCAATAAAAAGAAGCATTACGTTCCCCAT